ACCCGCACCACACGGCTCATCACCAGCCCCCAGGTGAGCATGACCTCCATGGAGGGGCAAATATTCCTCCTTGATGTCTGTGCCCCCTGAGATGTCCCAAGTCCTGGCACAAAGCAAATGCTCAGTCAATCCTTGTAGGATGGAGATTAGGCTAAAAATAATCAAAGTTCCAAAGACCGGATTTCTGATCCAAAGATTTCAGGGAGAAAAGTAAGACTTTTCTGAGCCTCCAACTTCCTCACCCTGAAATTACCTCATCCCAGCTCCAAAGGGCTGGGACTCCTCTGCACACACACACCTTGCTTGGCTCCCTTACCCACCACCACTCCCTTCCCTGTTCACAGCCAAATGGCTCCTCACAACCCCCTTCTCTGTCCAATGCATCTTGCTATTCCAGGACCAACCGAATTTCAAACCCAAGACCCCTTATATCCTCTATCTCATTTCTGGCTTCCAATCTGAGGGATGAGTCTTCCTGGCTGACAGGAAAAGTCAGATAATAAAAGATCTGGACCCTCAGGCCTGAGTTGATGGTCCTGCCTCCTCTGGAGCCTCTAATGATTATCTTAGGGGAGCCCTTATTCCTGGAAGAGAAGGGGCTTTATCACATCCAACATCACACTATTTTAACCATAGGGTGTCAGGCTATGGTTCAAAGTATGCCGGAACTCAGCCACAGAGCTAGTGAGGTAGGGGAGGAAGCTTGAGGAAAGTGGGATGCGGGGTGGGAAATCTGACCTTCCCCAACGTGCTGGCTCCAAAGCAGTGTCAATGAGATGTGCAGACTGAAGCTTAGCTCAAACTTTAGCCTGCACCTAAGAGACTCACCCAAAGGGGTAGTGGGCAACCTGAGCGGTTCTAATTGCATCTCCATCTGGCCAGATTAGGAGAGGAGTGCAAGTCCAGCATCTCTGCAGAGAGCAACTAGAAGTTAAGGAAGGCCCAAAGCCTTTGAAGAGGTGCAGATTAGAATATCAGGAAGGACAAGCATGAGAACCATGAAGAACTAAGGGCTAGATGGGCGGAAGAGGTGGTGTGAGGAAGGGGATGGGAAGGTTCCAGTAGAAGAGGCAAAAACGTTCTGGCCAAAGTGCTACAGGAACACCAGGGACCCAGAGGGGGTTGCAGAGGACATTGAAGGGGAGCAAAACTGTAAGAGGGTGGCACCTGGCTGGGCCAATAGAGCTGCAGACACAACCATCCTAAGGCAAGCAGGGACTGTTGTCTCTTGAAGAACGGGTGGGGCCAGCTGAGCACTCAGGTTGAGGGGATGGGGAGTAAAACAGGAGAAAAGGTAAGTATGCTCACTAACAGGGGCCTGCCTACAGAAAGTGTCAGAGGCTTCCTAAGTGGAGGCTCCGGAGGGGGCATGCACTGTGGTTTACTTTCGGTGTGTGGGAGTGTGTGTGTAAAGCTTCAAACACACAAAAAGTAGAGAAAATAATTTAATGAACCCCCATGTGTACTTCCCCAACTCCAGCAATTACAGTAGATGGTCAATCTTGTTTCCCCCCACACTTCTGCCCATTGCCCTTTGCCCTGGATTTTTAAAAATATTTTTAAAATTTAAATTCAATTAGTTAACATATAATGTATTATTAGTTTCAGAAGTAGAGTTCAGTGATTCATCAGTTGTATATAACACCCAGTGCCCGTTACATCACATGCCCTCCTTAATGTCCATCACCCAGTTACACCATCCCTCCACCCCTCTCCCCTCCAGCAAGCCTGTTTCCTATGATTAAGAGTCTCTTATAGTTTGTCTCCCTCTCTGATTTCATCTTGTTTTATTTTTTCCTCCCTTCCCCTATGATCCTCTTTCTTGTTTCTCAAATTCCTCATATCAGTGAGATCATATGATACTTGTCTTTCTCTGATTGACTCACTTAGCATAATACCCTCTAGTTCCATCCATGTCATTGCAAATGTCAAGATTTCAGTTTTTTGATGGCTGCTTAATATTCCAGTGTGTGTGCGTGTGTGTGTACCACATCTTCTTTATCCATTCATCTGTTGATGGACATCTGGGCTCTTTCCATAGTTTGGCTATTATGGACATTGCTGCTATAAATACTGGGACATAGGTGCCCCTTCAGATCACTGCATTTGTATCTTTGGGGTAAATACTTAGTAATGCAATTGCTGGGTCGTAGGGTAGCTCTATTTTCAACTTTTTGAGGAACCCCCATACTGTTTTCCAGAGTGGCTGCACCAGCTTGCATTCCCACCAACAGTGTAGGAGGGTTCCCCTTTCTCCGCCAACATCTGTCGTTTCCTGACTTGTTCATTTTAGCCATTCTGACTGGTGTGAGGTGGTATCTCATTGTGGTTTTGATTTGTGTTTCCCTGATGCTGAGCGATGTTGAGCATTTTTTCATGTCTGTTGGCCACCCGTACGTCTTCTTTAGAGAAATGTCTGTTCATGTCTTCTGCCCATTTTTTAATTGGGTTATTTGGTTTTTTTGGTGTTGAGTTGTGTAAGTTCATTATATATTTTGGATACTAACCCCTAAATGACTAAAATATACCATCTTCAAGTATCTTCTCCCATTCAGTGGGTTGTCTTTTAGTTTTGTTGATTGTTTCCTTTGCTGTAAAAAAGCTTTTTATCTTGATGAAGTCCCAATAGTTCATTTTTGCCCTTGCTTCCCTTGCCTTTGGCGATGTTTCTAGGAAGAAGTTGCTACAGCCGAGGTCAAAGAGGTTGCTGCCTGTGTTCTCCTCTAGGATTTTGATGGACTCTTGTCTCATATTTAGATCTTTTATCCATGTTGAGTCTATTTTTGTGTATGGTGTAAGAAAGTGGTTGCCCTGGATTTTTTGAAGCAAATCCCAGACAGCCTACTATTTTGTAGAAGTTTCAGTATGTAAATCTAAATAAGGACTCTCCTTAAAGGTAATCCTAATGACATCATCAGATCCCCAAATTCCTTAATATAAATTACTTCAGATTATCAAATATCCAATCAGATAGTTCTCTGAAAGGTCTTCCCTTTCATTTTTCCAGTTGGTTTAATCTGGAGCTAAACAATGTCTTCTGTTAAATGTTAAAATACCTTCCAAGTCTCTTAATTTATAGGTTTCCCCTCTGTCTTTTTTTTTTTCTTATAATCTTTTTGCTGCTACTACTATTGTGGATGATGTTAAAATTAGGTCATGTGTCTGGGACTCTCCCATTCTTGATTTTGCTGATGGCATCCCTGTGATGTCATTTGACTTGTTCCTCTATTCCCTATATATCTTATAGATTGGTAGTCAGATTCAAGTAGACTTTTCAGGTTGACTACCTCACAGGTGGCAATGTGTTCTCCACTGGGGGAAGACTGACGTCAGATTGTCCCTTTGTTGTCATGTTTGGCAGACTGTGATATCCAAAATTCTATCATTCTTTCTGCACTTATATAAGCCAGAATATCTCTACAAAGAAAAATCTCCTTAATCAGTTATGTGATTACCCTAAAGCATAGTTCATATAGGAGAGGCAGGATATGTGCTTGATTTCTTTCCCTTTCCTTAACCAGTTTTCAAAATAATGAGTGTGACCCCTAGAAACTTCTAAAGGCAATCAATGAAGCTTTATTTTTATTTGGTACTACTATAAATTTATTAATATAAACATGTTTGATGTGTTTCAAGATGAGATATTTATAGATTTTTCAGGGTCTGGTATAAGATGGGTCCTCCAATGCAGACAGGCTGATTAGATTGGGCAACTTGGGCATGCAGTAGTTGAGGATTGCTGAACATGGCAAGGGGAGGGTTTGATGTGAGTCTTAAAGGGTACAGTCATGTGATAAGTGAGTTGACTGATCCGTGGGTCAGAGTAGGAGCTGTTATTCTGATGAGGACTAGTTGGGTAATTGGTACATTGCTCCAATAAATGGATTTTTAAGAAATTCCTAAAAAATGAAAAAGATATTTGAAATATATATTTGGCATGAGATTTGCCCATGCAATCTGAGGTTTCTTTACTTCTTTCAACCTTGGAATTTACCACCATTGGGCCTTCAAATATTTCCTCCTTTCTATTTTTATATCAATCCTTTTCTGTTCTAGCCCTATCTTTGATATTAATTAGGAAATTTAAAATATACTGCCTTATTTCCTTTTTTTAACCTTTTCCTGATGCCTCTGGAGAGTTGCTGAAACCGTTCTTCCAATCACTAATTCCTCTTCAGCTGTATCTGTTCCACTGTATTTATCCCACGTTATTAATAAATAGCATCAATGAACATTCATGCCAATTATTATATTTTTCATGCTTACTATTTCTCTTTTAGTTTCATGATATTTTTCCTGATTCATACTGCTCTTGCCATCCCTCACAGGAGTGTTGGCAAGGAACCACCTTGAAAGTGCCTGCTTGAGTGCCTGGGTTCAACTCATAGTTCTACAGCTTACTAGCATATGCCATCACTGCTTTCCTGTGCCTCAGTTTCCCTCATTGTTTCGCAGATAACAATGATTTCTGCCTAGTTGATTATTTAACAATGCCTGTGAAGCCGTTAGAAGAGAAGCCGGCACTGGGTAAGTGCTACTTACCTGTCAGCTACGTATAACGCAGCACGACACTTCCCACCCCCCCGCCCCCTCCGTGGGGAAGGATTTGCTGAGACTTTCTACTTCTTGCTCTCTGCAGGAGCGGGCGCGTTAATTAGGATCGTGGCGGGGCCCGGGTCTGCGCTCCGGTCGGCGAAACGGGCATCCCGGGAGCTGCCACCGCGCAGGTGGTTGAGGCCGACGGCCCTAGAAAAAGGCGGCACTCCCGCTGACAGGTGACTGACTGGGCGGGCCCCGAGCCGCTCAGGTGGAGCCGAAGGCCAAGTTCGTGGCTCTGGGAGGCGGCCGCTGGGCGGCGCTGCGCCCCTTCCGGCCGCTGGGCCGCTGGGCCTCCGGGCCACGGTGCTCCCGCCGCGGGCGCTGCGTCAGCTCGCAGCTCCCCCGCCCGGCCCCAGAGCGCAGGATGCAGTGCCCCGGCGCCCAGTACCTGGTGAGCGACCGCCCCGCACCCCGGGGCGACGGGGCCCTGGAGGGGAAAAGGCCCCGCGGGAAGGCTAGGGGTCCTGGGAGAAGGTTCGGGCGACCTCCGAGCACGCTTCCGCCTTCCCCAATCCTCGCGGATAAAGCCCCCGCCCCGGCGCCGCCGAGTCCTGGGGACACCTGGCGGGAAGGACGTAGGACCGCACTCAGGTGCTGGGGCGGAGGCGAGGGAGAAGCTGGCTGCGGAGCGCAAACTTGGGGCCGCCCGCAGGTGCACCTCCAGGTAAGGACTTGGCGACCGGGGACTTCACGTCCGCTCCGCACAGAGCAGGTGTTTCGAAGTCTCCGTTGAAAGCTTCGGGAGGCCACATTTTAAGAAATAAGATAAATAAAAGGAAAAGAAAGGAAGAAGGAAAAGAAAGAAAAGTTACTTTGAACAGTCTGCAGTACGTTTGGATGCAGGTTGGGACCCATATGTTTGTTTATCCTCTTTTCCTCAAGTTCCCCCCCCTTTTTTTTTTTTTTGGTCTGGAAGGCTTCTGCAGAGAGAACCCCCCGGCAAAGAGAGTGGAGACCTCAGCTTTATAGGAAGTGCACAGATACGACATGGCTATTCCTGTTCTTTCTCTTTTGGACTGGTTTGGTAAGTATGGGTGCCTAGTAGAGAAGAGAGCACACAGAGTGTGTGCCCTGAAATGACTGTGCCCAAATGGAAATCGCCTTCCTGATGCCTTCCTGGTGCCTTCCCCGGGGAAGCCTAGGGTTCCAGGTGGTACCAGGTTAACGTCTGTGCTACAGTGAGAGACATCTGCCATTACCACAGAATAAACATCAGTCCTGGGGAATTCCTATCAGGTGACTCGCTAAATTGGAAAAGCTTATTGCTGCAGGCCATATTCTAATGGGAGACTCCATTAGGAAATGAGAATCACCTTTTAGGATTGTTATTTAATACGCCAGTGTGTGGTCTCTTATTATCTGAGCTCACTGCATGGAACTTCTTTTACCATCCCAGCCCCCCAAACAAAATATTCGTCAACTGTTTGCCATTCTCATAATACAGGAAAATCCAGGGTGAGCCTAGGGATAAATTGCTCTCACTTTAGCTGAGCGTAACATACACATGCCTGGTATGTTATGTTTAGCAGCTAACTGGGAAATGAGCCTTTGTTATAAACTCTATAGTTAGGTAATAATTTTTTTCCCATTCTAGTTTCCAGTTATATAGGATTGCTGATAGACCTCATCAGGCTGTGCCATTTTAGTCCTGGAGGGTCTCTTGGCAGCTAAATCTTGATGCTTTGATACTTACTTTAGAGTTGTAGGTAACAGCAGAAGGAGCCCCACTCAGCTTCTTGAAAGATCAGGTTCATGAAATGATCTATTCTAGATTGGGGCATGCTATTTGCCACATGGTTAATGATTATAAAGCAGCATTACATCAACCCCATAGTAATTACCTTTGTTGCAAAGATTTCAATTTGAACAGACCCTGAAATACTATGTTTGTTCCTCTTTCCAAATTCCTCTTTTTTCAAAAAGGATTTATTCATTTGTTGACTTTACCTACTGGTTTCTCATGACAGACATGGTTACAGGTACCGTGGAAGGTTGGGTCTCAAAGGTGTAACTGATTGTTGTGTGTTGTCATGTCGTGGTCCTCTGAGCCCTCCTACAGGAGCTAAGAGAGAGTACCTACACCACCTCCTCCTTAACTGCCCCGCAGATGGCTCCTGTTTCTCTGGGCCTGCTATTGAGCTGCAGGCACAGCAGCTTTGACCTCAGGCTGTTCATGTTATTCAGTGATCTTCCCTAGCCCCTCCAGGGCTCAAACCTAGTACAGCACTACCAAACCCTCAGCCCAACAGCCACCTGGGGAAAGGATGTGTAGATGGCCCATCACGGCCTGAAGAATTATGAACCATCTGAGAGGTGGCACAGAGCTGGAAACTGCTTTCAAATTCCATGTCGTTTGCAGAATAAATCTGAAGTCTTCAATATGCCCGCATTCTCTTTACTGCATTTGAATAATAATGAGAGTCCTGCAAGCTTAACTGCCTTGCATTATCTCCTGCAAGATTTTTTTAACCAGGGATACTTAAAACAAGGCAAGGTGTGTTTTTCTGCCTCTGCTGTTCAGCTTCCTGGTCTTCTGACATCCTGATTGGTAAAGAGGCACATGCTAGACCAAGGTTATTGATGGTGCTGCCCCCCAGTTAGGGAGGTTTAGGGTGAGGGGCCAGAATTAGAGGCACGTGCAGTCTACTACAAAGACAAAAGGTACCAGCCTTTGTTTATATTTCCATAAGACACACAGAACAGAATGTCTCAAATTCTGGACCATGTCTGCCTCTACTTACCTCTGCAGTCTCCTCCCCCACCTGCCCTTCCCGTTCCTTTTTAAGACTCCATTTTCTGGATCTTCCCTGGCACCCTTGACAGTGACCTCCTTGGTAGCCTCACCATACCTGGTATCCACTCGTGCTATATCACCCGTCATATGGAATTGTAATTGTGTGTTGGAAATTAGAACAGAGTTTGATGTCTTAAAGTAGTAGTAGTGGTATGGCAGGGACTTAGTGTGTAACCAAATCCCTCCCACCCTAAAACAAAACAAAACTTCCACTCCTCCCACCGGCTTCCCAAGGGAGATACTAACATAAAGCATGTTGATCAATGGAAAATACCCCTTCCTTATTAGCTCTCTTTTGAGCTGGGCAGCAGCCCAGCTTCCTTTTCCTCCAAGTCCAGACCCAGTCGGGATCTTCCCACACTCCAAGCGGAGCGGGCAGGAGAAGCAGCCTGGGGCTGGGTCAGCAGCCACCCCCACCCCCTCTAAGTACCGGGTGAGGGAGCTGTCCACCAGCAAAGGTGATGCTCTCCTCCTGAAATCTGACCGGGAGCTGAGGAGGTGCTGGGGAGGGGCCGGGACAGAGAGCCTGCCCATCTTCTGGGCTGAGTTCCTTGAAGGCAGGCATTCGGTTTTGTTGATCTTTATGTCCCCTCATAACGGTCTCTGGCACACGCTGGGCACTTCAGGACTGTTATTTTGATTTCTAAATTGTGGTGAATGAAGAATATCTGCAATGTATTTGACTTTGGGACAACGTACCTTTGGAACATGGGGTGTCATTACTATATTTTATTGAGTGGTGTACCATATCCTCACTCCTGGAATGATCATGTTGGGACTAATTATTAAATGCTATTCTATGCGTTGTAAACTGGGAAACTTACCACACTAAGATTGCATTCTGGAGGATACGCAATCTTAGTGGAGGGCCCATCCATGCATACAACGCAACAGTCATCTGAGCTGAAATTTCAAATACTCCATATTCATGATGAAGTTGGATAAAAGTGACTATAGGTTGCAAGATGTCCAGAATTCCTGAGATTCTTTCTTTTGTACATCTTAAGCACTTACCCCCAAATACCATTTTCTTGCTTGTTATGAGCGGTATTTTGGTACACGTCTACTGTGTTGCCTCTGCCCCTGAGGGTCCGAGTCCCCTAAATATAAGACAAAAAGAAAAAAGGAGAGAGAAAGGGAGGGGGAGGCAAGGAGAAGGAAGGGAGGGAAGAAGGGAAGGAAACTCAGGGGAAAAGGGAAGGGAAGAGGAAGGAGAGAGAGATGAAAGGAAACTCCGGGAAAGAAGTAGCAGTAGTCCTGGGCACCCTTAGATAAAGCAAGAACCTGGTTGGGTGGCGGGGGCGGGGATTTGAGTTGCCCTGGTGAAGTTAGGCCCAGAAGAAAAAAAAATGACAGACTCTTGGAAAAGAGGGTAAGAAGTATGTGGAGGTAAGAACATGGACAGAAATCTGTTCAGCCTTTAAGAATGTTCTCCCTACCTAACCCGTTGCAGCAAGTGTGAGAGTAACAGCATCTTGACTGACTGGTGCTACTGATATGTCGCCGAAGGAGAGCATATGGTGATGCTGGAAGATTTGCTTTTTACCTGGCTCCACTTCGTATCAACACCCTCAGGGATGCGGGGGGCCGGGGAGGGGGGGTGGCGAGTCTTCAGCCCGTTGGCCAGGCTCTCATGTGCCACTTGGGTTTTGCCAGATGTTCATCACAGGCTACTCGGTGGCGGCAGGCGCCACGGGCAGACTTCTCTTTGGCTACGACAGCTTTGGCAATGTGTGTGGCAAGAAGAACTCCCCAGTGGAAGGGGCCCCTCTTTCAGGGCAGGACATGACGCGAAAAAAGTAAGTGTTCAAGTAAGTCCCCAACCCAGAGGGGCTATACTATATTTCAGAACTGTATCGATGAGCCATTCGGAGCCTAGAAACTGTTTTTCCATTTAAAACTATCAGCCCATCTCATAAAAAATGGAGGGGTGTGTGTGTGTGGTCGTAAAGACACAAGTTTTAGAATCAGCTAGTCCTAAGTTCAAATTCAGCCTGTGCTACTTTTCAGCTGTGTGGCCTTGGGCAGAGTGCTTAACCTCTCTGAGCCAAGTTTTCATCTTTTCAACTGGTTATTAGACCCAACTCACGAGATTGTTTTAAGGATCCACTGAGACACTGCATGAGCTAAGTAAGGCTTAATATATGTTAGTTGCTACTGTTGTTCTCCACGATGTATCAGAATCGTGTTACCAACTGCCCGGCACCCACAGTATTTTATCTCCGTGGAAATACCTGTATCCCAGCTGGGCCTTCTGGGGACCTGTGTCCCACTCCCACCCCAGGATACACTCTCAACTGTGGCATGGTGGTGTCACCACCCCTCCACCTGCAACAGAGAAACAGAAAGGGGAGAAGAGAGACCGAAATCCGTGGCCAGGATTTTTCTAAGAGGAGGACCGCCTTGTAATAATTTTTGAGACTTGGTGATCAAAAGCACCTCCGAGGAGAGAAAATTTATGGATCTAAATAGGTCCTGAATATAAATTTGAAGTCACCCAGTACAGATCTCAGACCAGGCCTCTTCTACCCCCGGAAGTCACTGCTGAGGAGAGGGGCTTTGCTCCGCGGGACATGAACTGCCTGCAGGCATTTCCTCCTGTGCCTGTGGGTCACTTACACAAATGAAGGAAGAGGAGGCTGCCCAGATGTACCCATGCATGCTGAGAAATGGTCAAGTCCTCTTCGGATTGTAAAGTATATATTTTATTCTCAGTAGCCAACGAGTGGAAGCAACCAGGTGTCCCATCAGCAGGTGAACGGATAAACCTAATGTGTATATATATAGAATGGGATCTTATTCGGCCTTAAAAAGGAAGGAAATTTTGACACAGGCTACAGTGTGAGTCAATCTTGAGGATATTATGCTAAGTGAAATAAGCCAGTCGCAAAAAGAAAAATATTTTATGATTTCACTCTATGAGGTACCTAGAGGAGTCACATTTCCAGAGACAGAAAGCAGAATGGTGCTTGCCAGGGGCAGGGGAGTTATTGCTTCATGGGTACAGAGTTTGGGTTTTGCAAGGTGAAAAGTGTTCTGTGGGTGGGTGGTGGTGACGGTCCCACAGCAGGGGGAATGTATTTAATGCCCAACCTGGGAGGCACTCTACACCTAACATGGTGAAGATGGTAAAATTTTATGGGTATTTTACCACAATTTTAAAAAATTAAACAAAGCATGTATTTATCATAGGTCCAGGAGATCTGTTCCCCCTTTTCCTATTACACCACCTCCCTCCCTCCCAGCCCCCTCCTAGCACCCCCTCCCTAGGGCCCTCCCCTAGAGGACGGCCTCCCTAGCAGCCTCCTGGGCTCTTCTGGCTTCCCCTGATCTCAGCAGCCTGGAGAGGCGTTGGGTGTGGTCTGGGAGCTACCGCTGCTCGCCTGGCTCGTGACCCCATTAAGGGCAACAACCAGCTTTGTTCTCATGCCCCGTCTACCCAGCGGCGGAACGGCTGGAGTGGGAAGGGTCTCACAAGTTTCCTGGCTCTCAACCTGGGAGGCAGGGGGAGGGCCAGGCTATTAATTTTTAACAGCCTCAGCTCTCCCCTTTCCACTTCTCACTTCCCTGAGTTCAGCTATCCTCTGAAGTAGAGCTGAACACTCAGGTGCCAATCTGTCTTCTGCGGACTTCACTGAGTAGTTTATGCCCTGGCCTGATGCTCTAGCATTCCCTGGGCAGTTTTGTTTTGTTTTAGTTATAAAGATTTTATTTATTTATTTCCCAGAGAAAGAGAGAGAGAGAGCACACAAGCAGGGGGGGAGCAGCAGGCAGAGGGAAGCAGGCTCCCCGCAGGGCAAGGAGCCCAATGCGGGACTCGATCCCAGGACCCTGGGATCATGAACTGAGCTGAAGGCAGATACTTAACCGACTGAGCCACCCAGGCGTCCCTCCCTGGGCAGTTTATCAGTCCCTTCAATTTCTCAGTGACTTCCTCGGATCACCCCTTAGTGTTCTCTCCCAGGGGAGACACTTGAGCATGGTTCCTACCCTGCATATCTCCCTAGATGACCCCCAGCAGGCATAATACATGGTAAATTATGCTGAGGCATTTGGTTATAAACATTTGCCATTATTATTCCCACCTTTGATAACGTGGGGATTTTTTTTTTTAAGGCCCATCCTTAAACCCAATGAGAGGAAATGCTCTCAGATAGTCTTCCGTTTCATCTGTTTCATAGACATGTGTTCTTTATGAATTCCTGCAACCTGGAAGTCAAGGATGTGAGGCTCAACTCCACCATCCTCTGCGTGTCCAGATGTCCCGAAGAGCAGCTCAGTACCCTGGAAGAAGTCCAGCTCTTTGCAGACAACAATGGTAGGCACCAAGGGATGGGGGCTCACTCTTCCCCCTCAGGCTGGGAACCACAATGGGGGAACCACAGTGGGAGAACCGGTGCAGACCTAGATGAGACAGCTTACCCTGACACTGCCTTCTCCACAAAGCTGGAAATTGTCGTTCCTTGGGGATTGTCCTCTTCTTGCATAGAAAAGGCCATAAATGTTTTCTCCTGGGCTTGTGCACTTGCATTCAGGCTTATCTGGAATTTATCTGGAACCCTAGCTGTTCTCTGCTCACTGCCAGGGAATGGTCTTCCATACAGAGCATGGCACAGACTGACCTGTAGGGCCCGAAGGCAGGGTCGGACAGAGGTCAGAGAGCTCTGTGCACACGGGCACATCCAGTCTTAGAGAGGGGCTGCAAGCTCTGGGCTTTCATTAAAATGTTCTTTCATTAAAATGCTGGGGCCCATGGATACTTGCACTAATCATTAATGTAACTGAAGTACCTGGCTCTGAGCCCACTCTTGAGATTTACGTTATAAGGATTAAACAAGCAGAGGAAAGTAAAAGAAATTTGAGGCAACCCACTGCAAAGTTTATCTGCCTGTGAAATGGTGTGCCAGATTTTGAAAAAATTATTTGCAAGGCTGGGTTAAAAATATCAAGCCTATACAACAAATTATCTTCAGAAACCTTCAAAAGATTTTCGTGCTAATCATATAACTTTTAGTTTTGAGTTGAGATTTAGGGGAGGGAGGAAGGGTAAGAGACCTCAAATTGTATGATTTTATGCTTATTCTTTTTGTGTTTAGGTCACCTATAGACCTGTTTTCTAAATCTGAGTGATATATTCCCTTTCCTTCCGGTTTGGTGAAAGGACTATGGTTTTCTTACTGGCTCCCCTACAAAGCTGAGCACAATGTAGGAGGATGGTACAGTGCGTGTGTCTTCTGCTTCCAGGGTCCTTCCTGTGTGTTTATAGTTTGAATTCCATCAACTACACCCAGAATCCAAATGCATACTCACTGTGCCCCAGGCTACCAGTTCCTCCAAGGTAAGAAGCTTCCATATTTTTTCCTTATCCATCAACAAAAGTCATGGGGTATTTGATGTACATCTCTTGCTCTTGTGAGTATTGTCAGAAGCACAGAGGAGATTATCTGGTAGAGCCCACCATCTAGAAAAGGCCAGGGATAAAGAAGGAGGGACTCTGTAACGTATATAATGGACAATGGATTCAGAACCAGGCCGCAGAAGGAGAAGAGTCAACAATGAAGATACATATCGTCATAAAAGGACAACACTAGAGCTAGCAGAATTAATACGTGAATCATTACCAATTGAGTGGTTTTATAAGGTAGTTGGTATGTATTTTTTCTCCTCCAACCATCACAAAGTAGAAATGGTTTACTTTTGCTCTTTTATTATGAGACGTTGTTAGTTCTTATAGCTCTAGATTTCTCCAGAAGGAGCAGACCTACATGGACAAGGCCAAGTGGCCACCATGCACATCTTCCCAATGAGGACCGAAAACGGGTCCTTCTCCAGGATGCTACTTGTGAACTCCTTCTGGCGTCAGCCATTCCCATCAGCTAGTGTAGTTCCTGGCGCACAGGAAGCACCTCACAAGTGTCTGTAGAATAATGAGGAAGCCGGGGTTGTGTTGTCATGGTAAGTGGCTCCCATTTGAGCCATTGAGAAGGCAACTGGGAAAATGCAATTACTACCCATGGCCACTGTCAGGAAGCTGGGATGTTCTGAAGGAGGACTTGGATTTATTTTGCATTACCATTCTTTTGAAAGTTGTCAGTATGTTTACAATGAAGGAGACCTCTGTGCAGAATTCCTGAGAAGTAATGATAATTTAAGTAGAATAAGGTATTATGCCAACTGTCTAGCACGGTGTTGATCACACTCTTGGTTGGGACCCACAGTACGAAAGTTATACCATCGCCAGCCCGGTACTGTGGTCCTGTACCTTCATACATACTTATGAGTATAAAACAGAAATAGAAGTCTCACACAACAAGATTTCCCCTTGCTGCGTATGATCCATACTAATAGTTCCAACTCTATTTCACTTTTTTAAGACAGTAATTTATTTCATAATCTAATGGGTTGCAAGCATAGCTTGAAAAATGCTGATCTCGGAGGTGCTTAAAACACAACACTCAGGTGGATTTTAGCTGCACAGGAGGAAAAATATAGTTAACCGTTTTCCTGGCATCCTTTTCTAAAATAAATACTTTGTGTTACAAGTAACTGAAAGAGGAGAGAATTATTTGCAGAGGAGAGTACCCATGGTATATTTCTATATCTTATTTTAAGAATTCTGAGTTTTGTCAGATATCATTAACGTATCTCAGTGAAACATAACTAAAGCCAAAAAAAATAAACTACAGTGTTGTAGTAAGTTAAATTATTTAACACTTGGAGAGAAGGGTTGTTTGTTTGTTTTAACCTTCTACACTTTGACCATCTTCCTAGTCTCCCTGCCCCAGACCCTGGCCACCACCATTCATGGTCTGCTTCTATGAAATTGACTATCTCAGATTCCACATAGAAGTGCGGTCATACCGTATTTGTCTTTTGAGAGGGACTTTTTTAAGGAACACAATTTGTAACTGTGCCTGCAGAGGGAATTGAAAGAGAATGGAATTTTTTCAGGTTGCAGCTTAAGCAGCGGTGGATAAATTCTTCTTACCATAAATGGAATGGCAGCTGTAATTCCGTGGGAAGCTTATATCTTGATGTTGTTGATGATAATGGCGAACATTTATTGAGGTCTTGATAGTTGCGAGGTACTTTTCGAAGCTCTTGACATGTGTTCATTCTTCTGGACCTCACGAAACCACTGTGCTACAGGCATTGTTTTCATCCCTATTTTATGGTGGAAAAACCTGGCGCAAGGACAGGGTAAGGGAGCACAAGCAGCAAGTGGAAGAGTTGGCAAGCAAACCCAAACAGTGTCCATATTAGTTTCTGTAATCCAAAACCAACAGTCAAGGCTGCATTGGTTTTATTTTGCCTGGCAAATGGCCTCCTTGGGCTCACACCAGGATGGGGTGGGGGGGAGCCCCATGGTCTGTGTCCTAGGATCCCCATTTTTCTACCTGTCACGCCTGTCCTAGACCTTTCACCCCCGAAATGCAGAACTTTTCATGGAAAGAAACCTGTTGATTGGCCTTTCTTGGACAGAGTCAGGGAGAGAGAAATAGCCTTGAGAGCTCCATTTCCTTTCCCTACACAAGCAAGAGTTTGTTTTAAGATGGAAATTATCATATTTATCACGGAAGAGCAGTGCCAAAAGTAAAAGCTTGAAATCATGAGACGTGCGGTCATAGGGCCAAAGAACATTTTCTAAATACCTCTATTGAGTAAACCAGTTGTTTGTTCTTCCTCTGTCAATCACGTGAGGTGTAACAGACCCTTTTAGAGCAGTGGTTGAATATCAAAAAGGTTTGTGTCCCAAGGTATGAGCTTTTAAGAGCAGTGAAAAAATAGTGCAGAAGATAACAAGCAAGCATATCTTTTTCCCTTGGGGTTCAACATAATATTGTATTTTGAGTCCCCTGTGTATTTAAAATCTAAAAGGCTTGGGTTTTTCCATCCAGTAAGTTCTAGTCCTAGCCTCCCATGTGGGTGCCCATGCATGTCAGTGCTTTGTTTGATCAGAGGAATTCCAACAGGGCCATCTAAATATACAGTCAGCTCTTTGAATTACTTCCTGCAAATTTGAATGGCTAGGCTGGTGGGGAGAGGAAAAGCAGAAGTGGGGAAGGAACCACAGTCTGTGGCCCGAAGTCATATCCCCTGCCCCAACTAATGAAGTGTTCAATGGGCAATTGGTCAACCACACACCAGGGATGACCCACATTTGTCATGTTTCTCTGTGTCACCCTCAGGGCTGAGATGGGCCATTCTTTACCAGCACAGGGTTCTAAAATGCCTGAAAAGCACCACCCTAACAAACAATGTTGACAAAATTAAGGTCTTATGGAGAGTTGTGCTTGGGGAAAAACAAAATGACATTAAATTTATATCTGATCTTATTTTTCAGAAATACTAACTGAAAGCTCAGAAAACATTTGCTCTAGCAGTAATTCAGATTCATTGGTGTTAAGACTGTTTCATAATAGAAAAGAAAAAGAAATTAGAGGTTTAAAACTCAGAGATCAGGAGGTAAAAATTACTACTCTGCAGGTGGTAAGAAAATTAACCGAAAAACTACAAACGATAAGAGAACTTACTTAGGTGGCAGAAAACATGATTAATATACTGAAATCTGCAGCATCCGTATATTTTTAAGAAGACAGCTTTTACCATAGTGAGAAAAAAAATACAAAAATGAACTTAGGTACTTTAGTGCTAGAGACAAATTTAATAAGAAATGTACAAGAACCATAAAAAGAACACTTTAATATGTTCCTAAGCTACAAGGAAAAGTTAAACAAATGGAAAGACAGTGTTGTTGACAGTATGACTCAACATTATAAAGATGTCATTTCCCCCTGGGTTAAGCTATAAATTTATCATGATTACAAATAAAAAACAATTTTTTTCAATAACTAGACAAGCTGATTTTAAAATTTGTAAGGAAATTAAAAAGAGAAAGCAGAAAAAAAAAATCTGAATGAGAAAAACAACAGAGACTAGTCCTTTCAGTTTTTAAAACATACTATATTATAAAGTTTAATAACTAAAATACTATAACTGAACTAACGTGAGTTTGCTCCTTGGTGAATCACAGATAGAAACTACACCAGGTGAGTTACACACCAGGTGAGTTTCACACAAGGAAATTTTATTTGCCGCAAATAAGGAGATCACGGGGAATAACTTCCAAAGCCCTGAATCCCTGAGTAAGGGTGAGTGGGTTCCTTTTATTTACAGTGAGGATGAATATTTAGAAAGGGAAGCCTTGTCCCCATATGTAGAGGCAGGCACCAGGTCGCACATGTATCTTGAGGAAATATGCCTTACACACATTGTATGTTATGTAAGTGAGGCTCGCGCTTCTCTTTGAGTGGAGATTTTAGTACTGTGATGACATAAAGGTAACTGTCGGTCACTCCGTGGGTCACTCCATGGTCCACCTGCACAGCTGTGAGGTGGGGCTAAGCTCAAACTGGTCTGGGTGGCCTGGGTCAGGGCCGTCATTATTGCTTGGGGGGCAGTTTTGGTTTCCATCAGAGGGTGCTATGCCCCTCAGGTCTTTTGTCTGAGTTAAAAGATAAGCTGAAAAGAAGAGTTTAAGGGAAAATGTGGGACAAAGGTCATTGGGTACAAGCAGGCTAGCAATAAAGGTCATGTCTTGGGGTCTAGCTGGTGACAGTACTAGTTCATGTGTGGAAAGATCAATGGAAGATACTAGATAATCCAGGAATAGACCCAAATGCTTTTAGATAAAAGTGGCATCTCAAATCAGTGACAAAATGACAGGTTACTGAACAGGTAGTGTTGGGACAACTGGACAGGCATCCAGGGGAAAAGCTGGATCTCTGCCTCAAATGAATAAATTCCAAATGGATTAAAGATTTTATTTTATTTTTTTAAATTAATTTGTTTTTTTAGAGGGGGGAGGGGCAGAGGAAGAGAGAGAGCATCTCAAGCAAGCCACACCCGGCAGAGCCCAACGCAGGGCTCGATCCCATAACCCTGAGATCATGACTTGAGCCCAAATCAAGAGTCGGATGCTTAACCCACTGAGCCACCCAGGCACCCCAAACGGATTAAAGATTTTAATGTATAAAGTGAAATTAGAAAATACTAGAGGTCATGGGAGAATTCTTCCATAACCTGAAGGTAAGGAAGGCTTCTATCTATGACTTATAACTCAGAAGACATAAAATAAAAAATGGGTTAAGTTTGGCCACACTAAAACATTTCTTTTTTTTTTTTTTAAAGATTTTATTTATTTATTTGGCAGAGAGAGAGATAGCGAGAGCAGGAACACAAGCAGGGGGAGCGGGAGAGGGAGAAGCAGGCTTCCCGCCGAGCAGGGAGCCCGATATGGGACTCGATCCCAGGACCCCGGGATCATGACCTGAGCCA